TCTTTTTGTGACTGGCTTATTCCACTCAGTATAATGTCCTCGAGGTTCACCCATGTTGTAGCATGTGTCAGAATTGCCTGCACTTTTTTAAGGCTGAATAATATTCTGTTGTATCTATACACAACATTTTGCTTATCCTGTCATCTGTTGATGGACACGTGGGTGGCTTATGCCTTTTAGCTATTGTGATAGTGCTGCCATGCCATGGGTGTACAGCGTGCACCGCCTTTTGTTTGGGAGAATAACTTTCCCTGAAGCTCCGCAGCAGATTTTCCCTCACATCTCATTGCCCGGGATTATGTCACATGTTCATGCCTCAACCAAGAAAATAGGCCACAGTGTTTGATTTAGAGTCTCAGCATCAAGCAAATCATAATTTATGCTTTGTAGGACTTGGCGGGGAGTATCCCTCCCCTGAAGCTCTGGGCTGTGAGGAGGTGGGTGGGCTCCACCTTAAAAGAAGGATGTGAGTGTTTGTAATCACATCAGTTACACTCTGCTGCCAAGACTACTGAAGGCCGGTCACACTCACAGGTGAGTGTGAGCTCAGATTTATGTGGGATTTCTGTTTTCAAACCTTGAGGCTGATGAATGCTGCCTCCCATTCCTGGCCTCCTAGGTCATCATCTTTCCTTTTGTGTTCTCACCTGTCCTTCCTTTCCCATGACCTAATCTCCTACTACTTTTCTCCCTTCAAAATCTTTCCATTTCTTCTCGGATGCTCTAATTCACTCCATCCTGATTCGCCTCACAGATTTCTCGCTTGACCTCTTGTTCTTAACGCATGCTGACTCTTTTTTGTCTTTTTGGTCTCGTTTATTCATGAACACGGGGTCCAGAGATGAGTTCAGCTCTTTCCTCATTCTTCGATGCTACATCTAAACCAGTAGGTCTCTGCTTTTATGTAAAAATCCTGTTCTTTGAAGGATTTCATGACATTTGCATTTACGCTTCTCCAGACTACCTCATCTCTGTCACCTTTTCGCTTGCTGGTTACTAGCTCAGATCCCCATCCACTTGGCTCACAATCTTATCCATGCCCATGGCTTTAGCTGTCATCCAAAGCTGATGACTTCCAAAGCTATAATTTCAGCTCAATTCTTCCTCATACGCTCAAATCTAACTGCCTCCAGGGCATAGGCATCTGGCAACCCGTAAGCATTCCTAACTCAACCTCTGGAAGCTGAAAAGCCAGAAACCTTGATTCCTTCCTCCTTCACACCTCCTCTTGATTCTATTATCCTAATATCTCTGACCAATTTTTTCCTCTTTTCTTATCATATTTATTTCAGTTCTCCCCCCTTCCCCCCTTTTTTAAGCTGGATTATGGAAACAATCAACTAACTGGTCTTTCCAGCCCAGGACATTCTCCATAAAACTGCAACCAGCAGCCTAAAATACAATGTAATTATGTCATTCCCTAAATGATTTCCTTTATAACCAGGTTAAAGTCCAAGGTTCTCATCATAGTGTACAAGGCCCCTTTATGGAATGCCCCAGTTGCTCTTTCGTCTTGTTTCGTAGCACTCCCCCACTCTCATGTCCCCGCTGTGATGAATTTATGGGGTACGCTAAGCTGGTGAAGCTCGCTCTTCCGCAGCTAATTCTTATTTTTGTCGTCTATCTCAGGACTTCCTCCTCTAGGATCCCTCAATTTGAGAGTAACTGACACTCCTTGTTCTCTTAATACCTCCTCCATACCTCCATGATGATGTTTATCACACTGTATTGTGCGACCATAAGTTTCTTATCTGAATTCTTGTCATAGTTCCAGGATTTAGCACGGTGCTGGGTGTTTAGTAAATATTAGCTGTGAATAGATCCTGTGCTTCATTTCAAGGCTAAGAACCTCCTCAAGTGTGGCTACGAGAGGAAAAGGAGGATGGAATAATATCGCATTTAGAGGGAAGCTGAGTCCACTGAAGCTGCTTTCAGGATTACGGGGAGTCTGTGAATATTTGTAGGCTGAGGTAAAGGGGGCAGTGGGGAGAGAGAAAGAGGTTGAAGATGCTGGAGGAGGGATAGAAATAAGGTCACTTGGAAAGGAGGGAAGGTTTTCACTAAGTTTTCCTTAAAAAGTTTTTTAGCCTTTAGAGATCTACAAGGTATTTGCCCCATCAAGGCTGAGTTTAACTTATCTCAAAATAATATTCTTTTTTTTTTAAGAAGAAGAAGATTAGCCCTCAGCTAACATCTGCTGCCAATCCTCCTATTTTTTTGCTGAGGAAGACTGGCCCTGAGCTAACATCTGTGCCCATCTTCCTCTACTTTATATCTGGGTTGCCTGCCACAGCATGGCTTGCCAAGCGGTGCCATGTCTGTACCTGGGATCCCAACTGGCGAACCCCGGGCTGCTGAAGCAGAATGTGCGAACTTAAACACTGTGCCACCAGGCCAGGCCCTCAAAATAATGTTCTTGATCGGGCATTCATGGTACATGTTTACTTATTACACAGAACCTTCATGTTTCCCTGGGTCTGGAAAGGAGAGGGATAAGAAGTATACTTGGTAGAAGTTAAGGATTAAAAGTTTACTAACAAAAATCTGGGGCTCTATCACAACCAATGATGTGAGAACGGCTAGTATGCCTTCAAAGTACATGCCTGGGATATGACGACATTTTAGAAAGGGCTTGATGCTTAAGATAAATGTTATTTTATAAATATATATTTTGTATATATATAGCTGTGTTTTTTGATTTTTGAATTGTAGCATTCTGGTTAAATAGTCCCATTTTAATAGCTATTTTATTACATAACCTAAATTACCAATATAAAAAAAGCACAGGTGTTAGAAGTAGCTTATGTTAAAACTATACAGAACGAATGTGAAGGGCTTCTCAGGGGCTTAGTCATCACTGTGGGGCCTCAGTCATCACTGTGAACTCCCACAGACACTCAGGGCAAGCCGGTCCCTCTGCACAGAGTGCTGTGCTTCGAGCTGGGAGGGACAGACGTTTAAGAAACGGCTCCTGCCTTTTAGAAGGTATATTAGCCATTACAGAGTTCCAATTAACCAAATGCATAAATGATTATTAAAAGGTGGTGTCACACTTATTTTACTCTCTGGTCTCCATTCTGATAAAGCTCTCTTTTCTTCTCTTTTCCCTTTAAGTCTTTCCTAATTATCAAAGCTGTCTGTGTTCAGAAACAGACTGTAGCTTCTAGGCAGAGTGCTTCGTCCCAGCATCACTCATCTGCTGTTTGTTGAACTGAAATGAACATCTTGTCCAATTTTAACTCTCGAGTTTTTGGCAATTGGCTGAATTGGAAAGTCGAAGATGCATTTAGAGGAGAGGATATTGCCGAGCACTGCAGCTGCAAGAATCTCTTTTTAAAACCTAAAGTCTGTTACATAAATTATGCACTCTTTAAATTCTCTTCTACGTTCATTTACACAGTTGATCATCAAAACTGCTTTAGAAATACGTGCATCAAATATTCAGCATATTTTTAAAGCTTCCTTAATACCATGCCTAGTAAGTGGATGCAATTATGTATTTATTTACAACAAACACCTATGACTAGCACAAAACCTAATTACAGTCTATCATTACCTCTGAATCATTCCAATGGAAATGTTTTCTCTCACTGTATTCATATTGTTTTGGTGCATGAGTATAGAAGGCAGCAGATTGTTTTCTGTGATCATAGATTTTAAATATTTACTTGCTTGTGCTGCATAATTCAGCACACTGGAGTTGGAAAGCAGTTTGTATGGTAGCTGATGCCATGTCAGTGTTACGGAATGTAATTTCCTTCTGTGACTTCTATGTGAAGTTGTAAAAATGAACAGTATTCTATTCTGTTTTCCTAATCAATTAAAAATTGTTTTTCTGTAAACCCACAGAAAACAAATGTTTGTGGTATACACACAATTTTATTTTGTATAATTACCATGTAGTGTAAGAATCCAAGCATTGTTTCTCATGGCCTGTTAAGGCACAATATAAAAAATAAAATATATTTATTCTTATCATCCAAGTCTTTATGAAAGTAACAAAAAGGCATCTAGACAGCTTACTAGATGTTATCTGCATATTATCTGTCCTAAGAAATCATAACAGAGTTCTATCTTTTAAAATATGGAACCACAAGCTATCTAACCAGGCAAGAAAACAGTTATTTAGTTTGCTCACTCTAATAAATGTTACATTTGTGACCTTGCTACATCTTCTGTGTGATTGGTTACTCGGTTGCCCAACCACGTAACAGAAAATAAATAGTTCCAGTTACCTGTTTTTGTGAGAATACAAATAATTCAAACCATTAAACACATTAAAAAATTGAAAAATATTTTCAAATTTAATTTTCAACTTTTCAATTCTGCATTCTGAAAGGTTTTCTTTCCCATGTGGTTTCATAGTCTGGTAGTACAGACTGTTACTTTTTTACTCGTAGCTCTTACTATAATTTCAGATGCAATTCAGGAGCGTGTGTGGTAGTCTTTGTTCCTACACAATCTTGCAGCACTGCAAAAGGACACAGGATCACGCTTTGCAATAATTTAGCATCTCACTCAACACACCTTATGAATGAGGATAAACATTTCCATTTCATAAAAAGCCTTTGTAGACGGTCCTGTGTTTCAATCCTTGAAAATGAGCTGAATGTGGAGAATGAGCGCACACATTCCTTGATACTTCACAAATATTTACCTACTGCTCCAACCATAGTTTGGCTTAGAGTACCTTCACAACGGAATAGGGGGAATACTGGTGCTTTTACCAAAGTTGGGCTTGGTGAGAAGTTCTACGTTAGTCTACGGGATTTAACGAGGACTTTGAAATCGCATTGCACTTTGCGGGTGTCAGGGGGAGAGAGAAGAATGGAGAGCGCAGTGCATGCTGGATCTTGTAGTTCCGGCGCCCCAGGAGAGGGCGTGGTGTCGCACGGCATGCTGGGAGTTGAAGTTCAATTGTCCAACGGAAACTCACGGCGGGCCTAGTGTGATTTGTCTGAGACGCCGCTTCCAGGTGGGCACTCTCCCTCGGTCCTGCGCTTGCCGCAGTGATGACTTAGATTCTGGGATGGCGAACAGAGGGAAAAAGGGTGGACGAGGGAAGCGGAGCAAGAGGCGTGGAGGCTGCCGCTACCGCCGCCGCCGGCGGAAGGCTCCGGAGCCGGAAGTAGCCCACCCGCCGGGTGGAGAAGAGGCGGTGCTGGGATTACGGTGGCCGCGAGGGAGCGCGAGGGCGGCCGGCCGCGGCGCCGAGGCGGGAGCGTCTGCGTGGTGTGGCGGCTGCCGTGGCGGCAGCTGTGGCGCTGGGACGTGTCCCGGGTCGGCGGCGCCGGCACGTTTTCACGCGTCTCCTTATCTCGGTGAGAGGCTGGCCCGCGGCTGCGGAGTCGGGGAAGGTTGGGCCTCAGCATCTCTGGTCCTGGCGTCCCTCGGGGGCCTGCCCGCGGGGCTCCTGTGGCGACCGCGGGCTCCGTGCGGTCTCGGCGCCCCCGTCCCCGCTCCTCGTGTCGCTTGTCCTCTCGTGCCCGCCCGCGCTCGCCCCTGCTCCTCGTGTCCCCTGTCGCGAGCCCTCGCCCTCCCGGGCTGCGCCGCCGGCGGACGGGAGCCGGCCTGCGGGCGGCTGTCCCCGCGCCCGGTGGCTTCTCGGAGGGCTTCCCTGAGCAGTCGCCTTCTTTTAGCTCCTTCCCTGTTTCTCCCCATTAGAAAAAGCAAAAAGAAAGAGGAAAGGAAACAGAACCCAAATCGGACGCCGAGATGTCAGTCTTGCCCTCGACTCTTCTGCCTTCGGCCCCGCTAGGGCTTCCACCCGGGCGCGCTCTCCGCGGTCGCCCCTCGGTGTCCTCCGCCCCCAGCCCCACCTCCCCGGCCCATCGGTGTCCCCTGCCCCCCAGCTCCTCCGCCCCGCCAGCCCCACCTCCCCGGCCCCTTCTCCCCGGCCCCTCGGTGTCCTCTGCCCCCAGCCCGTAGGCACCCCGGCCCCACTCCCCGGTCCCTCTGCCCCCCAGCTCCTCCGTCCCCGGCCCCTCGGTGTCCCCCGCTCCCTCCGCTCCGGCCCTGCGGGGCCCCGGGGGCGCCGTCGAGCCCGCTCTGGGCCGGCGGGCACGGCGCGCCGCTCGCTGCGTTTCTGGTCCCCGAGCTTGGCTGGCTGGCGTCCTCGGTTTGGAGTGATGACTTTCCCACAGGTGTGCGCCGCCCCCAGTTGGAGGCGAGCGCCTCGTCCTGCAGCTCTCCGTGTCCACTTAGGTGGGGTCTCTGTTTCTCATTCTCGCTTGGGACGGATGTCCCCGGGCGAGTTTCTGCAGTGATTTTGCGTCAGTTAATAGCAGACAAGCACAGGGAAATGCGCTTTCCTCCTTGGTTGCTTGTGGTCGTAATTTAGGTTCTGAGTCACTGAAAGTACCCAGAGGGATTGGAAAAGCTTTGAAAGGTAATCTGTGGAGGTTCCAATTTGCAGATGAATACAGCTGCTTGCCCCAACAAGGAAAAGTTTCTAATTAGTTCAATAATGGGATATACAGTGAGTTAATTATCTGTTCATTTTCTCAAGTTTTGAGAACTGTTTAGAGTAAAAAAGTTGGCAATGTAAGGAATGGTATAGTTTAGTAAGAAGGGTTTAAAAACCATTTAACTGATGCTCTTTTTCTGTAAAATGGAATGCAATATATTGGAAAACTTATTTGTTTTAATTGTTTATGAGGTATTTCTATGTATTTTCATAGATTTGGTAAAACATCCTTGTATACTGTTCACTAATGTTTTGTAGACAGACATTTTTGTACTTCCTGGCTTTCTGGGGACCATGTAACTCAAGTTTGCAGCTTTTTTTCTATTCTGATTATTGCAGTATAGAAATTTAATAGTAAAATCTTCTTTAAACTGTCAAATACAATCTATATGTGTCAGTAAAATATAAATATTAATATTGTTACTCTGTCAAATTGGGATTATTCCTAATTAATCAGAAATGGTTTCAGCCATGCTTAAGATTAGGGGCAAAATGTATAATATTTCAAAATTAATTCACTCATGGAATTCTTTATTGGATAAATGATAAGAGGCCAGACATTACTCAGACTTTTTATATTTTTCCTGAGATTTTGTTCACTTAGTAGGCATTTATTGAATACTTTTTACTCTTTATTGTCACAAAATCATCAAAACCTTGAGAGCATCCTCTGGTCCTCAGCTCTGTCCTAGATGCTATTAAGGCATTATTGCATTTATTTGTTGTAACAGCTCAGTGAGCTATTGAATATTGTTTACATTTAGTAGGTGAAGAAACTGGAGCTCAGAGTTCAAGTCATTTAGTTCAGTTCTTTTTGACTCTTCCCTCTGTATCACAGCTGCAAAGATTTGTTCTCTACCCTGGCATATGTAAAGAGCATTAATGTGATAAATATTTGCTGAGCAGATACTCTTCTAGGTGCGGGGATGTAACAGTGAGCAAAAGAGACAAAGTCTCTGTTCTCAGGGAGCTTACTTATGCTCCAGCGGAATGTATGAGAGTGCTTCTTGTCTTCAAGAAGCAGGAAATGTAGCTAATGTGCGTTAGATTTTATGTACTTTAGAATGTTAAAGTTGGAAAGAGAGATAAACTAGGAAAGACTTCTTGGGGAAGATGAGATTTGATCTAGAACTTGAGTAGCAAGGGATTTGGTAGGTAGAAAGTGGAAAGTAATTCTAGCTTGAGGCATAAAATGAACAAAATTCTGAATTGCAGGAGAGATTAGAGGGAGGGACAGGTAACCAGACTGCTTTTATCTTCAGTTTCCTTCACATAGTAGGTGCAGGGATGGTTGAAATTGAAACAAACGTTTAAATGAATGAAGCTATGAAAAGGGTTCAGATCTGAGGCAGTGAGGAGTTAGATCTAGTGTTATAGTGGGAATGGAAGAAAGGAATGGGTAACTGTTGGTGAGAGAACCAGTTAGGCTCTGTTAGTTATTGGATGTTGGGAGTAGGGTGGTGGCCAAAGGAGAGGGGAGGCTAACTTACCAGATTTGAACTGAGTGGATCAGGTATGTCGTAGAGTTACCTATTTCGTCAAATCATGAGATTTTTTTTAAAAATTCCGAGATGCACTATTATTTTATGAATCACAATGAAAGAAAAAAATATTGCCACTTAAACAAAGATTGTCAACTGTAGGATGTATTCAGTTTCAGAGTTAAAATGTAAACATGTATGATTTAGAAATGGTGAAATAAGATATTCTTTATAATGATTGGTGAGCCTTATAACCCTTTATTTTTTTGGACTATTTATAAATAAATTTGTAATGTTTGACATTCATTCAATCATTTAGCTTTTGTTAACTTACTAGGCACTCTCCTAGGCCGTAGTGATATATTGGTGAGTAGATTCAGTCTCTTTCCTCATAGAACTTATTGTGTAACAGGGGAGGCAGATGTAAATCAAATATTCCATTGCAGAGGTTTAAGTTGCAGCTATTGTAAGTGCTATGAAGAGGACTTGATGCTCTACAGAGGAGATAAGAGTGTGCATGGGGAGAGGCCAGCTGAGAGAGGGCGTCTTGGACGAGTGGTGGTGAAGATAGATGGAAGAGGCTGGATTTCAGAGATGTTTAGGAGGTGGGATGGGGTGGCGCATTGGAGATGAGGAGTGAGGGAGAGGAGGGTGCCATTGACCATCGCTAGCTTTTTGGCTTATGTAACTGGATGCATTGTGGTACAGTTCGCTGAGATAGAGAACATAGTAAGATAACCAGGTTTGGAGGAACGTGCTTTGTTTGTTAATATTTTTTATTGTGGCGTCAGTGTTCAAGGTTAATTTTATAGTTATTCTCTTTTTCCTTTTATGTCATTGTTTCGGTTAAGTATATTTCAGGAATGGTGTACCTGAAATAAGTTTTTTCAGTATTTTTTTCTTGAGTGTGCAGGGAAAAAGTTCTAGATGAAAGCATTTGGAAATATGTTGGTATTTGTTTTGAATTTGTATGTAACATAGTCAGCCATATATGTAACAAGGTGACTGAGTAATGCAATTATATGTCATCTTTATTTTTGCTTGGGATTTGGCAGTAAATAGGGCGTCCGGTTAAATTCTAACTTCATTCATTCAAATATAAATATGTGTTAGGGGAAAAACACCTATTGTGATTTTTCTTTGAAAGCTCTCCTTTGTGTAATTGTTGATAGATATTTAATCAGTACAATCACTTTATTATTTAAATTTTACTTTTAAGCAGTAGAGTGTGTAGAGGAAAGAGCATGGGTTTTGGAGTCAGCCTTCCTGGATTCAAGGTGTGTTTTGCTATTTGCTAGCAGTATGACCTTGCAGAAGTTATTTAGTCTTTCCAAGCTTTTGTTGTTGTTTTTGTCTATAAAATGAGGATAATAATGGTGCTTGCCTTGTAGAGTTGTTGTGAGGATTAAATGAGATGATCTATGTGCATAGGGTAACAAAATTCCTGGTACAGCTTGTGTCTCCTATTATCGTAGTGAGATGGGGTCTGAGATCATCTGGACATGTCTTCTGTGACAACATTTTAATTTTAGAGTTCCTTATAGCAAATAGATCTTAATTGAAGAAGTTTGTTTGGTAGTTATATTTGGAGAAAATGTTACATAAAGATAGCTTTACTTTTTCGTAAGTGTCCCAGATGAGTCAGCACGCGTCATCGCTCACAGAGTTCTCATCAGAGGTTATGTTTAGTCTACAGCCGTAGGAAATTAGCGGTGGAGGGCTTGTACTCGTTTTTAAGCTCTTATGGGCAAAGTGAAGATGTGGTTAGACTTTATAAAGTCTCAGGCTGCTCTAAAGTCAACTTCTTTTCCTCCCTGCGTGTTTCCACCAACTTAAGTTTCAAACCTGTAAAAAAAAGTTGAAAAAGTAGTACAACAAATACCCTGTATATCCTTCACTTTGATTCGCTGGTTGTTAACGTTATACCTCATTTGCTTTCTCTCTCTCAATGCGCGCACACACAAGCACACTCGCACATTTTTTTCCCTTGCTACATACACCATTTGAAAGTAAGGTGGAGGCATTCTGACACTTCACTCCTTAATACTTCATCATGCATCTCCTAAGAACTAGGATATCTCCTGCGTAACTATAATGCCATTAGCATACCCAAATAATTTAACCTTGATGTGATAATATCATCTAATGTACAGGCTGTATTAAAAAATTCGTTTCCCCAAGTGTTCCAGTAATGTCTCTTATAGTTTTTTTTTTTTTTAAATACTGAATCCAATCAGAGATTATCAATTGTATTTAGTTGTCATGTCTTTCTGTTTTCTTTTCTTTCTTTCTTTCTTTCTTTATTTTGGTGAGGAAGACTGGCCCTGAGATAACATCTCTTGCCAGTCTCTCTCTCTCTTTTTTTTTTGCTTGA